CCGGCCGCCCAGCCACCGCCCTGGGCTCTAAGCTTCCGGAGGGCACCGGCCACATCTGTCCCGGCCGCACCGCTACCCCAGTGCCCGCGTGACGCTGCCCGCCGGGAGGGAGCGGGCACGCACATCACAGGCTGGAAGGCGCACCGGTCTCCGCCTGCTCTTTCAGTTCTTCCCTCTTTCTTTTTTTAATGTGATTTTATTGTTTTTAGAGAGAGAGGAAGGGAAAGGGAGATAGGAACATCAATGAGAGAGAAACACGGATCGGCTGCCTCCTGCACGCCCCACACTGGGGATGGAGCCCACAACCCGGGCCTGGGCCCCGACCGGGAATCGAACTGGTGCCTCTCGGTGCACGAGTCAACGCTCAAGCCCTGAGCCACACCGGCCGGGCTCTCCCCTCTGCTAAAGCTGGGAGGGGTGTGAGCTCCTCGAACACAGGGACTTGTTCCCTGATGTCCCAGGCATGGCCCTTGGCACACGGGCTCCGCCCAGGACCCGGATGAACAAGTGGACTCGATCGTCCAGATGGTTCCTCCAGCGTCACGGTTCCGGGACCGGGAAATATTCAGAGTCCAGGGCCCAGAAGTCCCTGGGGGAAGATCACCAGGAAGGCTTCCTGGGGGAGGGGACGGGGCTGGAGAGGAGCCTGAGGGTGGCCAGGAGGAAGAGCCGGGCCCTCTGCCACGAAAGTGCTTTCCAGAGCGCACGTCACGTGGGGAGCGGCCGTCACGTCGGGAGCGGCCGCGGAGGCAAGCCCAGGCCCGGGAGCCGGGCGGGAGGCAGCCAAGCTTTCTGGGGGTGGGGGACCCAGACGCCAGGCGGCCTTGGGGAGCCGGGCGGGGGGCAGCCAAGCTTTCTGGGGGTGGGGGACCCAGACGCCAGGCGGCCTTGGGGTGTCGGGCGGGGGCAGGCAGGCAGAGTTCACCTCTGGCTCAACCTGCATTTGTTCTCCTTCCTCAATGTGTGTGCTCCACGCCCCTGCGTGGGGATGGGTCTCTGCTCCCGGGGAAGTGGAGGCGGCCTCAGGGTTTGGACGGGGCTAAAAGCCCCTCCGAAAAGCACGCCAGAGCAGGCCGAGGCTGGAGGGGGCAGAGCCCCCTGTGCCCAGCAGAGCCCGGTCACTCGGGGTTTCAGGGCCAGGGACGTTGGGACAAACGGGCCCTTGTCGTGAGGAGGC